ACTTGATCTACATGGGTCTTGAAAATGTGGCAAGTGTTAGTGATTCTGAGGAAAACTGACTATTTCTAAAACAGACTATTTTACTCCAGATAACGTTCAAGCTGAATATTGGAAACAGAAAATGTTATTGAAGAAAGTGGTGAGGAAAGATGAAGGAAGCAGGGGATCTACCTAGAGAACTCAGAGCTCAGAGGAGGATCACAGAAATGAACAAGAAGTAAGACTCAGTGGATAAGGGAGCTTGTGAACAAGCGTGAGAACTTGAGTTTTGTTCCCTCCAAAAAGAAGTGGAATATGGCTAAGTGCGTGCCTGTAACCCCAACTCTGTGGGGTGCAGAGACTAAACAGTCTGTAGAGCTTGCTGCCTGACAACCCAGCTTTCAGGTTCAGTGAGAGGAATAGGGTGGTGACCAAGGATGGCTAACATCTTCCTTTAGTCTCTGGAACAGAGTGTGTATTCTGCATATATGCATATGCACATACACCATACTCATACACATACACATAGAAGAAAAAAAGAGGGAAAAGAAGGAAGGAGACATATTTCACTCTCTACCAGACTAGAAAAAAAAGACTCAGTCACTTATGGAACCCCTACCATGCCTCAACACTGTGCACCAGGATCCTACATGCTGTCTCCTTAATCTCAACAAAGGCCACCATCTCTGTTGTTCTAGAAGGCATATTTAAGAGGTTGGATGGTTTTTTATGTACAATTTGCAGGAAAAGGGAAAAGCAAGAGTTTGCCTCTGACAACCATGGTCCATCTACCACCATTCTATGGAGAAAGAATATAATTGAGTGCTTGTCCCCAAGCTGAGTAGCCTGTTGGGTCCTAGACTGTATATATGTATGTGTGTATATATATTTCCCCTTTAAATGCAGTATGAAGTCCTTGTCACTAAAAAAGCATTTAACTATTCTTGAGTTTGGGGGCAGAGAATATCTGGAAAAATGAATGCTTGTAGGAAACTCATGGGCATTCCCTTGACAAGATCCAATGGCTTTAAGTATGGATCAGCAGTAGCCTCTATAGTCATTAATGTGACTATAGTAACAACACTGGTCCTGGCCCAGAAATCTGCAGGCCAACATCCTTATAATTTGGTTTTTCTTCACACATGTCTCAGGAGATCATTCAGTAGAAGCTAAAGCTTCTACGTACCTCTGGTTCTCCCAAATGTGAAAGGCTTGAGTAACTGGTATCCAAGAGTGGTCTTTTCCATCCTCATCACTCCCTAACCTTCCCTTGTGTGCTTCCCACAGCTCCAGAGATATGAAAAAGGCATCTTTATCCAGGGGGACTGTGCATTCAGCCATGATAAAGACCCAGAGGTTAAGTTGAATAGTCTCTTAAGGTGGGCTGCTTTTAATATGATGAGCCTATGGCTATCTCTAACCCGGCAGCTGAAGCACTGTCCTAGGATCCTTGAGGTAGTGTTTGCCCATCACTCCTTAATTCATCAAAAGCTGCTCGATCCAACTCTCTAGGCTGTGGCCGAACATCTAAATTTTAACAGATTTCTCAATCCCTTAAACATATTTTTACATTATTTATTGTGTGAGTGTGTGTCAGGGTGGGGGGTGGGGGGTGTATGCGCATGTGCCATGGCACACATGTGGAGGTGAGAGGATGACTTGTAAGAGTTCCTTCTCTCCTTCTCCCACGTGGAATCCAGGGATGAAACTCAGATGATCAGATTTGGAAGCAGGAATCCTTACCCAATGAGCCATCCCACCAGCACCTCAATGATGATTCTTAAGGAGTAAACCCAACTTAAGGACCACTGGAATAAAGATGGAGAACGTTCTGAAAGGAGAACCATAACCTTAAAGGAGAAGATTCACTTTCTGATAATGCAGTGAATGCTAATTATTTAGGTCAGTTTTACAAAGCCACCACAGATGCATAATTGGAAAATTCCCAGCCATGGCTCTTAGAGGAATACAGGGTTAGGTTCCTGCAAGCTTCTGCCAATACTAATTTCACCAAAGATCATAACCTTGTTCTATGTGGATTTCTGTTTGAAGTCACACAATTGAAGTCTGTACCATTGATACATTAATAACAAGCTTATGGCCAGCAACTCTGTGACTCATTCTGAACCATGCATGTGTTTTATCTGTAAGGCACATCACAGATTCCTGCATCTAGAGGTACTTCAGCACTGTGCTCAGGGCCATTTTAAATGGTGACATCACCAGTGCAAAGCATAAAAATGGAGGGATGAAAGTGGCAAAGGGACACTCACCCATAATATGAAAACTGAACCGAGACTATATGTCAGTCCAGAACACACATGTCAGGTGACTCAGAATTTTCTTTGTGTGAGTTTGCAAATGACTGTGGAGATAATGTAAGTACTAATTTTCAGGTTGCAAATAAATCTTAGATCATACGAAAATTTGCAAACTTAGAATCCACAATGATAGTGTTCATATAAATTTTATTTTAAAATTTTTACTATTAGTTTCTTTATTCTCTGAGTAGTCCATTTTTTGTTTCTTTCATAGAAACAGACTTCTCCTAAATATAACAATGTATGTAGTCACAACCAGGTAACATGAGCTTTTTCTCTACTGCATTTGGACAATAATTACTCTGCCTTTGAGGACCATTAGTGGACTGGATGCAGCGTTACCCAGCAAGGCAATAGAGAAATGATTTTTATGAAAAGATACAAGATAATGCAAATACAAACTGAAACTCTGGCAAGGTACTCCAGGTACGACTTCAAATCCAAGGTTTATTTTAAGTATCAATTACTTTTACAGAATTAAAATCCTCATGGTTGATGCCCTTCATCAGATTTGTGCTATATTTCAATAATGCTCTATTTGTATTTTATTTTTTGAGATTATAATATATAACATATATTTTTGTATCAGTTCCCCCTAGAAACATACACATACCAGCAACATTATGCAGATAGAGCAAGTGGTATTTATCTACTTAAGGAGACATGTATATATATATATGGAGAGAGGGAAGGACAGAGAGAGAGAGAGAGAGAGAGGCCATGAATTTGAAAGAAGAAAAGGAGGATAGGGAGGGTTTGGAGAGGGAAACTATGCCTTACTTCAGTGTTTCCTTTGATCCTATGATAAGTCTGGAAATTAAACAGAGTAGGTGCTATTTCGATTCCCAGCATTGAACTAGAAGTCTAGAGGCCAAGATAGCTAGTATACCAGCCCAGGTCTTTTAGCTCCAAAGCCCTTGTTTTCCTACAATGCTGTAAGATCAAGACACTGTGCTAATGGTGCCACATGCCAGTCTGTTTGTTCTGGTAAAGATTCCTCAGAAATGGGGTGCGGTAGTAAACACAGGGTATGCAGGGGATTATAAAATCTAGGGAAGCAGGCTCAGTGTGGACATACCGAGAGCTTAAAAACAATTTGCATCAGCTACACAACTGTGTCATTTCTGTGCAGTGATGTTTGCTTTGAAGTATTTCAGTCAGAAGGAAGCACTGACCAGGGCTCATGGGTGTACTTTTATAGGTAGTGAGGCAGAGAGAAAAGAAAAGGCTGTGTCTGACCTAGAGATTAGAGACAAGTGAGAAAGTTCCATATAAATAAGTAATCCAGTTGGAGTTGAAGAAGACAGATGGAGAAGACAGAACCAGATATGCCATTTGAAAAAGGCATAAAAATTTGTCATGCAAAATAGATGGAAGATGACCCTGTGCATTTAGGACAATTAGGACAATAGTTGCAGAGTGTTCACATTCTAGGTCAATTAAAGTCATAAAGTTACCAGCTTCCCTGTAGCTTAAAAGAAATTACAAAATAGGTCTGGGGAAATATTCAGTCAGTGAAGTGATTACTGTGCAAGCACAAAGCCCTGTGTTCAAGTCTCCAGAACTCACATAAAAAATCTAGGGTAGCAGTGAGCTCCTGTAACCTGAGTACTGGGAGGGGATGGTGTAAAAACACGTGGATCCTGCCTGGAAGTTAGAGTCAGAGCCACTGCTTGATGACTCATGAGCCAGGCTAATTGAATAAAAGAACTTCATGGAGAAACCCTGTTGTGTACATACACACACACACACACACACACACACACAGAGAGAGAGAG